CAAGTGAAAGTCAATAGGAAAGATTAAAAAATATCTTTCCTATTGAAAAATAGGAGAAAAGGCCCTGCCGAGAATTGAACTCGGGACCCCTGGTTTACAAGACCAGTGCACTGCCACTGTGCTACAGAGCCACGGTGGCGGAGATGAAAAAACTAGAGTTGGATTAAATAGATAATGCCAGAAAATTTTTTCAGATACAAATAATAAGAACGAATTATACTAATTAAGAATTTTAAGAATCTATACGCAGTAATATCGTACCATTCCTGTAGAAATATTTCAAAAAAAAAAAAAAAGAAACAAAATTAAAAAAAAAAGAATCAATTACCTAATTAAACCCAATAAATCAAAAAAAAAATGGAAAAGAAATTAACTATTAAACTCTTTTAGATAATTTTTATGCGGAAAGAATAGAATGTCAGGATTTACAAAAGTGAGAAATTCTATTAAGATTTTTTTTCCCTCTCCAAACTCTTCCCATTAAGAAGGAGCCTTATTGGATTGAATGTGTCTCGAAATGAAGAAAAAAATAATAATAAAATAAATAATCTTAGCTTTACTTCTACTATAAAACAGAAAACAAAAACAAAACCCAGTGTTTTATAACCCTGAATTGTGGAACTCATCGTGTATTTAAAAAAAATAACTTCATTCAAAACGGTTTTCTATGAAATAAATATTAAGAACTGATGAAAATGAAAGAGTGCTCTGAGAAGCCCCTTTTTAGTCCGCTTCACTCTTGAGACGGAAAGGCTTGGGTTGGATAGGGTGGGTTTTTTCAGAAACTTATAAATTAACAAGACCTTAGGAAAAGAAAAGAAGTAAAAATATTCCCAATAGTTAAAACTTCAAAGTTCAAGATATTTTTACCTAATAACGTAAAAACTTCGATCATTCTTTTCATAAGCTCCTATTCAGAAAAGAATAAAAAAAATGCTTTGCGACGACGCTTGGGGCGTAGAGATCTTACTTACTCCTCGGTGTGCTTCTACAACGGCTTCCCGCGCAAGGTGGGTTGTTCCGTCTCCGGCCTGACCCGTTTCCTCCGCTTTAACGGTCGAGAACCACCTCTTTACAGTGGCGCTCCTCCAAAGACCGACGGTAAACCAAGTAGAACACCAAGTCAACGCAGCAGAACCCTCGCTGATCCAAACTCTCCCCGCTACGCATATTCAGCCCCCGAAGGTAACAGAGCGATGCTCCGGCTTATTAGTAGGAGATTAAAAATTTAAATAAAAAATAAAAAATTTTATAATATAAAAATTTATAAAATTTATTTATTTATTTTAATTTTATGGTGCGATCTTATTTTTTTTAGTTTATTTGTTAGGAAGTATTTTTTTTTATTTTTTAAATTAATAATATTTTTATTTAAATAGCGGGTTCAAATCCTAATGGGCGTGTTCTTTTTTTTTTTTTTT